ACAGGTACTAAAGTTGGAGGCAAACTGAATGCACCATAAATTGCTAGTCCATTGTACAGTAGTTCCAGCTCAGACATTATTATGTAAGAAGTATGGCTCAGTACCAAAGTGAAGGGCATGCTCATTAGTTCTATATTTCTATTGACTACAAGAATTTCTCCTTGAACTTCAAAGTATTAACTTTTGGATCACATAATACTTTGTTCACGAAATGAATTATGTAAAAGTTAGTGATATAAGTTAATGTGATTCAGATCTTAAATGTCCCCCTAAAGTCGCATGTCTTCAGAGGTGGGACTGTAGGTCATAACTGGATCACGAGGGTGCTCAACTCAGTAGATAAACAATCCACTGATGATGCGTTCATAGATGGTAGGGCCTGGGTGGAGGAGGCGAGTCACTGGGGCCATGACCTGGAAGGGTGTAGCTTGTCCCCAGCCCCTTCCTCTTTCTCTGCTCATCCTTTGCTCTGTTTTCCAGGTGCCATGAGATGAGCAGATTTCCCGTGCTACCATACTTCTGCCTTGTAGCCAGCCAGCCACAGACTGAGACCTTTGAAGCCATAAATCAAAATAAACCTTCCTCCTTCAGTTTTGCTGTGCTATTATTATTATTTGTTGTTGTTGTTTTGGTAATGGTGGGTTTTGTTTTTTGTTTTGATACTGGGGAATCAACCCAGGCCTTTCACACTGAGCTACATTCCCAGCCCTTTTCTATTTTGTTTTTGTTTTAATTTTGAGACAGAGTCTCACAAAGTCATTCAGACTAGGCTCAAACTTGCAATCCTCCTGCCTCAGCCTCCCATAGTGCTGGGATTACAAATGTGTGCCATCATATCCAGTTACCTTAAATTGTTTATGTCAGGTATTTCCTCTTTGCAACAGAAAGGTGACTAATACAATTACCTACAAAGACATATTCGTACAAATATATTAAGAACATGGTGTTAGGGGTATCTACAAATTCTGCTGAAGGATGGTTGGGGTGATGGCCAGAACCAAGAACTGCTGAAACAGGTCACACCATTGTCCTGATCTGAATCCCCAACTCTTACTGTTCTGATTCAGGGTCAACATGATCAACATTCAAGGTAGTGAGGTTCTAATTTGCCAAAACAAATCTACAGCATTATTTAGCAACAAAAATGGCAAATTCTAACTCCAATCAGATCAAACAGTCTTCAATTTGACTGGAAGTCCTGCTATAAACATAGATACACTTTCTTCCTTCCCCAAGAGCATAAAATGTACAAGAGGCTATTTTATTTCACACTTTCAGTGTATCTCAGTGAAGAGGAATAAACTACCATTTTGAACATAAAACACGAATGCAAGCAGTTTCAGACAGACTCAAGGATTAATAGGTGAATAGTATGTGGAACTGGGAGGTAGATAGGAAACCAGAATACATATTAAGTAGTAATGGTAGGAAACAACTCTACTTTGGTGATAGAAAAAATACTATGGATCTTCCATTTCTGTACTACACAGTTCAATGTACTTGGTAAAGTTACTGTTTTAAAAGAGCATATCAACTCCATATTAGAGCAAATCATTATCCAGAATGAATATTTACTTTCCAATCCGTTTGTGTCCAGCAAAAGAAATAGTTTTAGTAAACACATTTTAATGTTAAACATTTTCTAAGAGGTTTTAAATAACACATTATTAAAAGCAAAAACTATCTGTTCCACTTATTTTGAAGAAAACTGATGGAATAAACCACCAACTATAAAATTCACGGCCTTCTCTTAACCAAGAGACATTTAATTTTTTTAGCTTTTTACATTTCAAGAACCTCTTTTATATACAAAGACATGAATATTTTAATCTTACAGAATGTTTTCCAACTAATGATATTAGTGAACTTCTGAGAGAGGAGCTCCAATAATTAGAAGCTTACTCACAAAATCTCTTGGTTCCCACTAATAAACTATTATAGGTCTAAGACATTTTTAAAAATGGAGGTGATCTATTCATTACCCACTAGTGCACTACATATGTCCCTCTCAAGCCTTCAGCAATGCTTTGATTTTTTTTAAAGCTTTTAACATACTCTGTAGAAACAACCTGCTAGAACACAGCTTGGAATGCTCCTTTTCTTGCTCTACATACTTAGACTTATCAATTTTCAGGAATGAAGTACTGTCAACTATATCCCTCATGCAAAGATGTGTTGCCCTTTAACTGTTACCATTTTCGGATATTTCACAAGTCAGTTTGTTTGTGGATGTGCTCAGATATAAAATCACAATCTGATTTATTATGGTGATTAAAAATGTAATTAGTTATCCTATTACCCCTCATTAGTTTCAAATAGTGAAAGACTAATCTTAAGCAGAAGGCTAAAAATGTGTTACATTTTTGTTGTTGTTTTTCCAAGTCCACAGATTAAAATTTAAAGTGGTGCTTGAAACCAAAACAAACTTATCAAGTGAAATTTTTTTTTATCAAAGAACTAGAGTTCTATTAGTTATCTTGCTGGTCTATTCTTTTTTTTTTTTTTTTTTTTGGTACTGGGGATCAAACGAAGGACCTTGAGCTTTCAAGACAGGCTGCAGAACCACCGAGCTAAATCTCCCGCCCTTTGCTGGTCTATTCTTAAGTTTCAAAAAGCTAACAAATCTGAAAATAACTGGTAACCTATAAAGTGGTACCCGACATGGAATGTAAGCTCAAGGACAGAGATAATCGTGTCTTGTTCAGTGATTAAGCCAATGGTCTAGAGCACAGCCTGACATTTGTTGAGCAAATGAAACAGGTGGTGTTATAAATATTAGGTAACCAAAATGCATGCAGTGTTATAAATCCTTTAAATTTGACTTGAGGTTATATTCTACCAGTGCATTTAAAAATAACTCTGGGGTTTTCTTATGCAACATTTAGACTGGTCCACTCAACAAATTAAGGTTGAGAGAAAAGTGGGTAGTCAATACACTAAAGTTTTTTTTAATCACACTTTATGATCCCCTCCCATGTTAGTTCCTAAATGATATGGATTGGTTATTATTATTCTGAAAGAAATATTGTTATTGTTTGAAAACAGCAACTTTTCTATCTTGCTTAACACTCTCTAAAGAACATCAATCACTATTTCATCCTCATCCAATTTCCAGGTGATCCCTAAAACTGTCAACACTCATTATAACTTCCTAACTCTCCACTGCAATAAAGGAACTCCCACAACTTTTAGTAAGGCAAGAATCTATCATTAAATAAAACTGGGGTAATATTCAGAAAATTACATTCTTTGTAAAATTAGAAAAATAAACGAATGTAAATTCTTGTTTTAACAGCATATTTGTGAGCATAACCTTACAGGTGTTTTCCTTTTCCAATATTTTTCTAATTTCAAAAATCAGATACACTCTGTACAAAAATGCTTTTTGAAATAAAGGGCAGTTTGTCAAATGAAAATTAATCTAAGAGAATATCAAACCTTCAATTAGGACTGAATAAAATATTTGGTAGTCACTTTCACTGCATTAGAATATTCTGAAAGAAAATATAAAGTCCTACACTCTCTTAGTTATTCAAAAAATTATCTTTGTATTTGCTCACTTTAATAAATATACAAGAATGAATATGTTCTCAAAAATAAAAAACAATGTAACTTAAAACTTTTACCCATTAATTACAATATTTTGCAAGAAATAAGTATATGAAATGAGTTTTAGGGTTACTGAACTATCTGCATTTGATTTCCATACGTTTACTTAATCAGTAAAATATGCAGAGATTTAAATTAAGTGACCTTTCATTGCTGTGAAGCCAATATTAAGAATTTAGGAATTCTTAAAAATAACTTGCTATGAACACAATGTCAAGCCATAACGTTTGCAAATAGCAAACTTTCTTGAAAATGTTTTTATGAGACATTCTTTACTATATTCTTGTCTATATGAACCTGCTTTATACACTTTTAATTCTCCTAAAACTTAAAAAAAAAGTGGTTCACTTCTAAGGCACATAAACTTAGCTGTTTATGTTCCGAGGGTGCAAAAAGCCTTCCTACCATTTAGGGTTTACACACGTGAATGAGACCAATGTTCATATAATTATATTCGTTCCATTCTGTTAGTAACCGTTTCAAGCTGAAAGACCAGGACAGGTTCTAAACATGTTAAATTCTATAAAGCCATTAGCAATAAATTTGATCCGGCCGTTTGCTGGGACAATGGAAACTGCTGAAAAAGCGTCTATTAGTCATTCCAGACAAACCCATTGGGATTAAGAGTAAATTAAGACCGTCTAAGGACGCAACATCCCCCCAAAAATTAATCCAACTGGATCTCAGTTTGTGAGCCTCTGAGAAAACTTTTCCATTTTATCATCGCTAATTTCGACATGCTTCTATAAACTTTACCATTATAATATTTGACTCAACTGTCCTCCTCCTGCCCACCTCACGAGTTACGTTTTATACAGTAATTAGAATAAACCTACAGTGCTCATCTTTTGATAAATGTCCACGTATTGGTGAACTCCGTACTCCCGTTGCCAATCCAGCTGTTTTTATCAGCTGGACACCAAGTACAATCGCCCTTGACTTCTGTTACTTAAGGGATACGAAATGCGAAGGTAAAGAAAGCCAAAGCCTTTTTGCCACTTCCCTTCCACAGACTTCGCGCGCCTTCGGGACGACCCCCAACCGTCGCCACAGTGCGTGGCAGCCCCGAGGGACGGCGCGCGCGGTCCCTAGGCAGAGCCAGCGGGCGGCGACCGGCGCCGAAGCTGAAAACCCTCGGGACCCCAGCCCGGGCGTCTCGGACCGCGCGCCTCTTCAGCCAGGGCGCCTTCACAGTTCTCCACTAGGGCCAAGCATCAAGGTAACCCCACCACTTTTTGAAAAAAAGGTGACAGAAAAGAAACTGGAGAACGGGATGGAGCGAAAAAGAATCGCGAAAAGTAGTGGTTTCCTCGTCGCTCCCGCGCGGCAACTCCTCTAAAGCTCGACGCGCTCGCCTGGCCACCTCAGGCCCCGGCGTCGGGCGGGCTCACCTGGGGCCGACGGCTGGAAGGCACAGTCCCGGTCCCCCGGAGCGCGGCCCGGCAGCCTCGCGCCGTCCGCCGAGGGGCTGAATACTTGGAACGCCCACCGCGTGCCGTAGGACGGCCCGGCCGGGCTGACGGGGTCGGCCGCGGGGCACAGCTTGAGGGGCACCGGGCTGGCGGGCAGGGGCCGGAGCTGCGCGCCCCCGCCGGAGGCGGCGGCGGCGAGGGCGGCCGCGGGGCCTTGCGGCGGAGGCGGCGGCAGCCCGTGCGCCGGGTCGCTGCCGGCCCTCAGCAAGTTCTCGATCAGGAAACTCTTGCCCAGACTGCCGAAGCCTGGCGTGGCTGGCAGGTTGAGGAGCGCAGAGGAGGCCACCGCGTCCCAGTAGGCGCCCGCGTGGGCCGCCACCGCGCTGGGGAGCATGGTGCGCGCCGCGGACCCGCCTCTCGCTGCGCCGCGGGCCGAGCGCGCCGAGCCGCGCGGCGGAAGGAGCCTCAGACGCCGCGGGCGTGGGACGGTATTATTTATTTTGCGTTGGGCGTTCTTGCAAGCAAGGGGAGGAGTGAGGGTGGGAGGAGGGCTCTGCGCCCCGGGACTGCGTCGTTGGCTCTGGCAGCGCCGGAGTCTGGGTGCTGCCGGTCGGGGTTTTTCTAGAAGGACGGAAGGTGCGTCCAGCCCATCTACTCCAGTCACCCGGCCCGCTGTGACAGACGCGGCCCACAGTGAGGGCATCCCGAGGGGAGTCGGTGCTGTGGGGAGGGGACTTGCAGAAGGAGGTGGGCGTGGAGGCGACGTGACAGGGGCGTGCCTGTCCCGGGAAGGCGTGCGAGCCGCGGCGTCCTGCGGCCGCTTACCGCCGGGCGGGCGCGAGGTCGGGCGGCGGCGGCGGCGGCAGAGGCAGAGCGCGCCGCATACTAGACGGGCAGCCGTGGGCCTCCCGTGTTCGGGTCACCTGAGGGACCGGCAGTCACCCGGGGAACCTGAACGGAGCAGCTGAAGGGCTGCGGTCGGTCGTCAGGGAAAGTCGACCGTGTTACTGGGACTTGGGATTGTACCACAGAAAAGTTTTTTAAAGAGTGGAGTATTTGCATATTCTCTGTGGCTCCTCTATTTTAAGGGGAAAAGAAATGTGAGTTTCTTGGGAGATCTCAAGAAACTTCTCAATTTTCAGCGATTTACTTCAAGTCACTGTTAATAAGATTTGTTTTAAGGATTCTGGAAAGAGGTGCCCGGCAGCGCCTTCTCTTGGGATGAGATGACCTAATAAATTTTGATCTAGGAAGGAGATTGTAGTTAAGGGTTGGTTTTGCCCAACCATCCGGGGAAGAAAAGCCACTACCAAGTCCTCTTAGCCATTTACTGTTGAGTACTTCTCGGCAGAGAGATGAAGCATTCTTTGTAATTACAGCATATCTCTGTGTCTGTCTCCCTCTCTCCCTCCCTCTCCCTCCCTCTCCCTCCCTCTCCCTCTCTCTCCCTCTCTCTCCCACTCTCTCCCACTCTCTCCCTTTCACCCCCCATCCCTCCTGAAATATTAAGTATTTTTAATGTATTAACAATTTGCTAAGTGGAGACAGGCAGGTGAAAAGCATGTTTTTGTGTATGTGTAATTAAAGGCCTTTTAACTACAAGGCAACATCTCATTTTGGAAACTATCAATGGAGTGTTATAACTGTGACTTTTTTTGTCAGTTAACACCATTCAGTGCCACTTTCCTGCCCAAATTTAGACTTATTTATTTAGAATAAGATTTTATAAGGATATCTGCAAAGTTTAAAATCACATGTAGTTTCTCCCTTTGCTCTAAAAATAATGTCGTCCTTGGCTTCAATTTACTTAAAAGGTTGGCTGGAGTTAACAGGCTATTGATATAAATTTTCTTTTAAAAACTCACCTTTTGGTAAATTGGTTGATTGATTTTTCATTTACATTAGCAATGTCCAAAACTTTTTTAAAGGTCAACCCTTTCCAAAGATTACCATAGGTAGCTAAATTAATAAAAGTAGAAATGTTTTCTGATCTGATGGACAATTTTATCACCTCATGCTAAAAGGGAGTGAAGTGATTTTCAAGACTGATGTATACTATCAGGATTCATTCACTTACTAATTTACTAAGCAGATTTTACTAAACATTTAATGTTTACTGAGCATTTGCAGAGGCCCTGGGAATATGTGGGAAGTTGTGGTCCTTGCCTAGTAGACATTCACAGCATAGTGGCAGGAGAAAACCAAATAGTGTTTGAGGGACAACTTCAAATTTGAAAGGTAATGTATAAGAGAAAACTTTCCAGCGTCTTCAAAGTTGAATACTGTAGTAGTTGGGAATAGGATGTAAAATGGTAACATTTGAGTTGAGCAGAGAGAAGAAAGAGTACGTGAGCACTCCTCCTCCTATCACAGGCGCCATTTTGACAAAGTGTATGCAGCCAGGCACAATACTAGACACTATACACATATATGCTCATGTATTTCCACAATAATACTGAAAAGTTGATATTGCTCTGTTGTTACTGAAGGGACACGGATAATTTCAGTAACTTTTCCTAAGGCTGCACAAATGTCAGAGTGATGAGGCTGGCTTGCAACCCACAGTTTTGCTCTTAACCATTAAGTTCAACTGTTTCCCTCCTCATGAACTCGGTTGCAGTGCTGAATTGTGTCACCTGGCTATCACCTAGATACACATGAAGGTGTAAAACAAATATCCCTTATTTTAAGTGGAAGATAGCAAGGAAGATTTGAGTTAAGATTGGCTATTGGATCAGCCAGATTGCCTGCTACAGCCAGATAAGAAGGAATTAGAAAAATCTGGACACAAAATGATGTGATATTTAATGAAATGAGTGGCAAAAAAGAAGGAAGTGGAAGGGACAATCTTGTAAAGGCTGAATCTGTAAGCCTGGATGATGATATAGAGCAGTTCACAAATAGAAAGAATTGTGTACTTCCCACAGGACATTTGCCAATGTCTGGAGATTTTGTTGGTTGACAAACATGGGTAAGGAGTGTTCTACTGGCATCTAGTAAATAGAGGTTAGGGATTCTGCGTAATATTTTACAATGCACAGGACAGCTTGCACACCAAGGAATGATCTGGCTCATAATGTTGATAGTGCTGAGGTTAAGAGAGCTTGGTTATGAAGGAGGAATGCAGGGTCACTTCCAGTTTTCTAGTTTGTTAACTGGGTAGTTTCTGTCTTACAGAGACAGGGGCTAACAGGAAGAGTAGATTTTACATGGGGGAATGAACAAAAAGAGATGGAGAGAGGAGCTCTGGTGGTTTATGGAATCTTTGAGAGAGAATATGTAGTGATTACAGAAATGAATCAAGAAGAAAATGCCAGGGAATGCTAGTATTTAAGGGGATAGTAAAAGAAAAAGGAACTATGAAGGTGATTAAAAATAAACAGCCAGGATTTGAAGACAGAAACAGCTATGGTTTGGATGGTGATTAGGCCATGAGAGCTCCGCTGTCATGAATGGATGAATGCTGATTATAAAAGGGCTTGAGGCCGTAAGTTGGCTTTGTTGATGGCTCTCATATTGTCTTTGCCCTCCTCCTGTGGGATGATACAATAAGAAGGCTCTTTCCAGATGCCAACACCTTGATGTTGAACTTCCCAGTCTCAAAAAATGAGAGAATAAATTTCTTTATAAATTACTCAGTGTGTTCTTCTGTTATAGTAACACAGAATGAACTGGAAAATGCAAAGGGGAGAAGTTTCAGCAGGAGGGGATGGCAAACTTTGGTATTAAAAAAAGCTATATGTGAGATAGTTTCTTTTTGCCTTTGCACAGACCTACAAGGCTGTGTTATGGCCAATGAAATAAGGATAGAAGTGATTTATTTATCTCTCAGTCCTGTCCTCTTGTACCAATCTATATGGTTTTCCACACTCTTTATTCTTCAGTGGCCAGATGCCAAGGTCCAGCTGAGGACTATAAGTCCCTAGGAGATGGTAGAGCCACAAATGAAAGGACTCTGAATCTATCTATCACCACATAGAAGACCAATAAGCAAATATATGTGTAGAAATGACATCAGTGAAAACTAACTTGTATCAAGTAATACCATCAAGATTTAGGAGTTGGTTTCCACAGTTTATCCTGGCCTACCTTAATATACTATATAAATGTCTCAGACCAAACATAGAAACCTGATGCTTGGTGAGTTGGGCAAGAACTTCTTCATGGAGAGGAAGGGAGGAACAAACCAGTTTGTGAAGGGGTGAAGGCCAGTAGAAGATAAGAACATGACAAAGTAGAGATGGAAGAAACAGGAGAAATGCTAAAGGGTGTCAGAGTAAGAGAGACAAGTATATTTATAGGATGAGAGAAAAGAGAGTCTTTGAGGGCCAGGGGAACTTGTGATCCATAGTTCAGGAGGGATGTAGCATGTTTGGTCCTCGCATGAGCAAAAAGGGGGAAGAATAAATGGATTCCTAGAGAGTTGTTGGTAGGAAGAAGAAAATGGTTTGAGTCTTGGCCTCGTGACTTTTATTTTCTTGGTGAAGAAGCTGTGGAGAATAGAAGAAATAAAATAGCCTCAGTGTTATGAGAGATCTGGGCTCAAAATTCACCTATAGAACTTACTATGTATAAGAGGTAAGTTTCATTTGGGGTCAGTTAATGAGTTCCTTTAGGGCCACATGTTTAGGGCCTCTCATTCTAACTTTGGGCTGAATCATATGATTTGCTTTGACTATAGGATAGCAAGGAAAGGCTTGAAAAAACACTGGGGTGTTTCTTTTTCCTTTCTTGAACTCTTCCAATTTCTGTGAGAATAAACCCTGTACAAGATGAGAGAACTCATGAAACACAGAGGAATTGATCCAACTGTGGCCATCCTAGCCCAGCCAGATCCTGGCTTTGAAGTATTCTTGCAGAAAGAAGAAGAGAGAAAGGAGAGAAGGGAGGAAGGAAGGGAGGAAGGAAGGGAGGAAGGAAGGGAGGAAGGGAGGGGGGGGGGGGGGAGAGAGAGAGAGAGAGAGAGAGAGAGAGAGAGAGAGAGAGAGAGAACAAACTTGTATCTGATAAACCTCTACAGGAAATGCACAGAATAGCAAAACATATTAAATGACTCCTCAGGGATACAATCTCCAAAAGCCAAACTGGGACATTCTAGTCAACAAATAACTGATTCATGGATAAATAAATGACAAGAAAAAGGAACAGGGAACTGTTACAGATTGAAAGGGATCAGGGTATAGATCAATAATATGAAACAGATAGACTTGGAACCTAGTTGGAACATATATTGGGGACATTTGAACATTGATTTAATATTTAATGGTACTGAGAAATGTGTTGTATTTAGATGTGATAATGGTATTGTAGTTGGTTTTTTGAAAGTCTTTAAACCAACTAAAAGCAAAAGAACCAGATGAATCTCTTAAACTTTAATGCAGAAAAAAAAATGTGATAGTTTGACAAAGC